ATTATATAATATCCAAGAAGAAACAAGATGAATGTGCCCGACTACTTCCACCAAACATATATATTGCAAAATTTCTTCTACTTTGCTTAAAAAACTAGATTGCATTAATAATAACATCTTATTCTTAGTAATTTTTTTTTTATATTTATAAAATATATAGTAATTATGAAATTTTCTCGCACACAATATCATTGGTATAATAACGTTACCTCTTTATTTGAATATGCTGTCTGACGACAGCTGCCAATTTCCCCCTGGCATATTTATCAGAGAAATTCTTAGCCTGCGTGATATCCTCCATTTTAGTGATGAGAATTTTTAATTGACCACAGGCAAGCAACACCGGAAGAGCCGCCAAGCTATAGGCTCCGCTGGTTGCCGAGTATTGCACAAACCCGGAGAGAAACTGGATTGAAAAGATAATCTCGTAAGCTGGCGTCTTCTGTGGATCGACGTATACATAATAACCATCAAATCTCATCGGTCTGATTGTCACATTTTGCGGCGTGATGATGATTCCGCGAGATAATGGCACGATTGTGCGATACGAAAATCCGCTGCCATATACGAAGGCTACGCAGATGATCGCAAGGCTGCGTCCGATTTTCGAATTGTTTATCATGATTTTGCGATCTCCTATCAGACTCGCTTTGCTCTAGTCTTTCTCGATGTGCTCGATGCAATCTTTGATTTGATCATTTCGATAAATCAACAATGTATGTTTTAGTACCGCCATGAAGCAGTTGCACATAGGACCAATCATCTTGATACGCCGATGCGTATTTGATTCCTTGAGGAACATCTTAAGTATGCCCGGCACAAAAATGAAATAGAGTAGAGCCTGAAACAGAATCTTGAGTATCTTTGTCTGAATAATTCTACCAGTAGACGAATTGCCAAGCAATGGCCATAAGCTGATCAGGTTTAGGACATCACGCGTAACACTCACAGTGCGTCTGACATCATCATGATGAAGAATATTTACGTTCATAACTTGAGAATCTATTTGATCTTGACGTTGTCGACGAAGAACTGATCGGACGTACCGTCATGAAGTGAAAAATGTAAATGGTGATGCGCTTGTGTCTTCGATGGGAGCGGAAGAAGTGAGGGACTGACAGGTACAGCGATTGTTACCCACAATCTTCTTTCCCTCTTGTAAATCACGGAAAAGTTGTAAAAGTTATTGTTGGGAACGTTCGAGGAAGCATTTATCATGAAGAGAAATCTAATGACTTCAGAAGGCACACGAGAAAATATCGAGATAAAAATAGCGAACACACAAAGAAAAATGACAGATGTTCTATTGATCTTTTAACGGTACATTCATCATTTCGTGTTCAATAAAATATTTTGTCATAAAAAGTAAGAAACAAAGTAAGAGTTCAAATAACAATTATAAATGATTATAAAAATACATTGTGAAAGATCATATTAATGCTAATCATATTAAATCATATTAAATCATATTAATGCTAATTTCTCTTTTTAATAAATTATAGACGTCAAATAGTTTATTAATGAGTAATAAAGAAGATAAAATAGAAATTGAAAGAAATGTCTGGTATATCGTTTAACTAACTATTGCATTATTTGTTCTTTTTTATAGATGAACAATAAGATAATTAAATAAAAATTTTGTAATAGTTTTATACAATTATTTAAGTGATTTCTAACTCAAACAGGAAGTTAAAATCATAAATCTATACGTAATGATATGATACATTATTGTATGAGCGAAGTATATTTGAATCGAAATCTATATTTCGCAAAATAACATATTAAGAATAAGAGAAAATTTGTATAATGTAATTTTTTAATTTTATAATTTTATCTTTATATTAATATTTCTACTAACAATTAATATTTCTATTACATGACGTTATATGTCTCTACATTTGCAAAAAAATATAATCGAACATTTTTTAAAAGGTTACTCAATCATTTTTCGAATAAAATTAAGATATTTCGCAGCCATATTAACAACCTGAAATATAGTACATATTTTCATTCATCATTTTTTACAACTTAAACCTGTTACTTACATCAGTTCTGATGTACAGATCGAAGATCGGCTTTTAGATGGGGCAATCAACGTAGCTATAATTAATATCAATGCTCGTGCTATCGCATTCGGAAGACAGTACCAAGCCAATATACATATTGTTAATTATTTTATTCTATTTAACGAATGTGTTTTTAATAGATGATCATCTTGGTACAAATAAAAAGAATATAAAATAAATACAGATATAAAATTGTGAATGATATGAGAAAAATAAAACTTACTTTTGCATCTTTATCTACTATACATTCATTGCCAATCTGTCAGTCACGTTATCGCAAAAATCTTCCCGAACGTCAACTAAATGTTCGATCCATTGTATTAAGACTTCCAGACGGCCATAGGCATGCATCGCGAACAGGGCAGCTAAATTGCATGCACCAGCAGTAATGTGCTGTGGAACGCGACAGGCACTGAATCCAAAAGAGAATCTCACTGATAGGATTATGTCGCGCGTCGAGTATTACACTAGCGACTGGTTACACTAGAGGCCGATACGTCAGATTTCCATCACTCTCTGTAATCTTTACGAAAAAGCAGAGCAAAACACGGCATATGAAGAATGCTCAGATCGACTTAACGCGACCGAACTTGATTTCTGATTATGACGATCCGATCATTAGAATGCCAAATATACCACTGCGGATGTCATTCTTGTAGAAAATTAGTGAGAAGTATTTAACAATGGCCATTAGATAAAACTCAGCGGACCGGAAAATTTCAAAATGAGCTATACATCCATTTGGAGTAACATGAAGTTTGCTTTTGATGTTATTATATTATTGTTCGAATGATTTGCACATTGTATTACGTTGTTTTGAAAAATATTAGATGTACCTGTTCCATTACAAGTTTGCCTATGTAACAAAATATGAATATGTCAAACGTAAACGAAGTGAAGGAGTATCAAGTATGTTAAATCCCTCACAGGTTTTTCTAAAATCCCATTCTTATAATATATATTAATTATGATTGATAAAATAAAAACTTTTAAAGAAAAACGAAATTTTTAAGAAAAATGATTAATTTTTTGATACAGTATTAATTGATATCGATATATTCACTTTATTATATTATTACTTTAATAATATAAAAATGAATTTATGAATTTATTAATTTATTATATTATAAATCATTTAGCATATATTATGAATCATTATATTACATTAAATTAAGCTTATTTTATTAAATGGATATATATACTATCATGCAATAATATCCAAAAAAACATACGTACAGACCACAATTTCCATCCAAGAAATTTCATGCAACAATTCCTCGATTAGAAATATGAAGCTAAAAACGCGTAGAACAAGTAATTGCATTTCTCCTTTATAAAAATTATTAGTGTGTATTTTATAGCAAATCTTATTAGATAAATATATAAGTATACACACACACACGCACACACACACACACACACACACACACACACACACACACACACACATATATACATATACATACATACACCTACATATGGTATATTCTGTTTATGCATAGTACATTACCTAATTATTGGCATATTTTAATTTCTTATATCTCTACTTTTGACAAACAGTGCATACGCAATATTTTAATACGTTCGAAGTTCATACTTACTCAAGATATGCATGCATAATTGTATTATCTTAGCTAATCTCTCATCTCTATTAATCTCTCAATCTCTCACATGATTGCCCTCTCGGCTATCGATGGTTTATCCAGAACACGAACTCCTGCAGTTGTCCACATGCATGCATTGCGCGGAGATTTGCCAAGCTACACGCGGCCACTGTGATGTTGTGGGCGATTAAGTCGATAAATAATTGGATGATGAAATATAAAATGTTATTAACTGGACTACAAAGATCATCGACAATCACAATGGGCAATGGAAACATCAGCCTGCAATAAGTGAAATTGATAAATCCTCCTCTTTGATCTTCGCGTAAATCAGTGGAACCGCCACAAAATAGAACATGACACCGTCGTACATGAATATACTGCAGATGACTATCAGCCGACCGCCAAAGTTTGCGTTCTCCAGCATGATTCTTCTCTCATCCATGTATCTCCAGTCACTCTTAATATAATCAACATATTTGCGAATGTCATTTTCGCGCAAAAGCAAAGCACAGTATGACCACGAAGAAGAATGTAAGAATGTTACAGAGCTTCAATTGATTGTAGAAATCCTTGATCTCTAGGACGATGTATATGCTACTTAGGAATTAGGGGTATAACCAGCAATTTGTAGTAGATTACATTCAGCATTCTATACTAAACATTTCAATCGAGGAATGTGTCAGCTACCACATATCGATTATTTTCATCGATTATTTTTGATCCAGACATTTAGTTGCAATTGATTCGAAGATCATTTTTATAATTTTAATTGTACGTTCCAGACCTTTTGCGAACATCAAGATATTGAGATAGCTCAACCATTATCGCAGTAGCAAGTGATTGATCTGTACTGATAAAGGCTTCAAGTTCGACATGATTTGCGCTTGCCTTTGTATATCCATGGAAGAAAAAAGGGATCTACGCAGAGATTTTCTAAGCGAATAATGGAAAAATTTTGCGCGATTATCTGAGAAGAGTATGTGATGAGATCAAGAATCATTCCGTTTTTGAACGCGTGATTTGGTTTTGGCAATATGTGGCAGAAAGAAAAATATATTCCGTAGAAAAAGAGTGAAACTGTGCTTTGTCCGCTATACGGACTCTAAGGGCGACTCTATATACAAAAGGGCGACTCTACATACAAAATTTCTCTCACACTCTCTTTCTCTCCCACTTTCTCCCTCTCGCTCTCTCTTCAACAGGAAATGAAATTTAGCTTACAAATAAATTTGCTATTTCTATTTCTTTTAAATTACGTAGATCTGAAGCAATATTTTGATTGGCTCATCGGTTTAAGTTTATTACGATTAATGTTATAGAATTTTGTTTTTCGTAATCCTAAACGATGGTGTTTAAATTCTGTATACCGTTATATGTATACTCGTACATATACGATTTATATATTTCATTAATAACTTTATTAATAGTTAAAACTTAAGTTATATTTTATATATATGAAAAAAGAGATATCTGATTTCGGGTAGTAAAAATCTGAGGATTATATACGAAATTGAACGAAGAGATTATTTCTGAGGTTTCGTAAATGATTACATAAACTCGCTCAGTGTGATAAGTTTTTTTGTATATTATATGATGTATTCACTCAAATACAAAGCAAATAGTGTCCGCAGCAAGTTTAAATGTGCCATCGCTATTCTAACAACCTGAAAATGAATGAAAGTTATTTGCACAAAGCGTTTATACAAATAAATGTTTAGAAAGATATGAATATAAAAAAAGATGTATGTTTATAAAAAGAAATCATTATCGAGGAATGATATTATATTCATCAATAAAATATTCTTTAAAATTATATTTAAATATGAAATATTTATCGAGAAATAATTCTTACATAATATATTTAAATACCTGATTCCTGTAGGAACTTTTCCTTGTTATATTAGTATAGAGTATGTGCGGACAAAGAAATTATTTACGGCGGGAAAACTGATGAAAGAAAGGTGTTGGTCACTTTAACTGCCGTTAGTTTCGTAGAATATCTAGCCGGAAGATTATTAGGATAACGAGCTTCTTTATTGTGAAAATAATACCAATCGACCATGTGGCAAATATACGTACTTCACTCCTCTATTATACGATGTGCATCATATATAGCATTAGCATATTTTATTAAAATTTTACCTCCTTCCCTTAAGTAAATTATTCTTTTAAACAAGTTATTTATTACTTTTTATAACATTATATTTTATACTTATGTACTTTTCCGATTAGTAATAATTTTTATACCTCTATATTTTTATTATGAACCCTACTGACTAATTAAAAGTTTCCCAACATAATATAATAACAAAATATTG